AGGGCTACATGGTTTATGCCCTGCCTTAGGAAATAGATTTCATTGCCTGAGACACCTGGCATAGACAGAAACACTAAACATTTCCTTTGTGAGATTTTTTCATTGAATTAAAAAATAAATGAATGTGAAAAAGGTACCTGCTGGTGTATATTTTAACTATTTACTTTCAAAAACTAGGCTAATTACATTAACAAGCATGATGCAATTTTTCTATTTACATTGTAATTAGTAGAAATCATTGTGATTCATCCTCAGTATCCTGTTGGTGGTATATTCTTATAACCAAAATTTACAAGTTAGACTAAGGGAATCTATAAAATATTGAAACAGGAATTTCCGGCACCCATCCATCCAAACTTTTTAATTTGAACAAGTAGACACACATAAACACACCTTCACAAACTAGGAAACTCAGATTTTAGCCCTTGGTTATATCATAGTCATAAGTAAATAATCCTTTAAATAAGTAGAAAAACAATTTTATTTTATCTGTGCTACTCTTTTCCCAAAATCTCTCAGAAACAGTGATGCTCTACCAGTGAGAGAAAGAAAAAGAAAGTAAGCACATTGCTTTGCTTTGGACTCGATTCAATCATAGACTCCAATACTGTTGGGATTGTGGGTTTTCCTGTTTGTAATAAAAATCTAGTGCTGTGCAGACTCTCATGGCCCCTGAGCCAAACAATCGTAAGCCAAAACCTCTGAACTCATGAGCCAAAACCAGTTCTATATAACCTGCTTTATCATTATGGTAGAAAGCTAACACAGTTTCCAAACAAATTCTTGCAGATACAGAATCTAGATTGGTACCCATAGACTAAAATGCCAAGCCTTCCCTGGCACCAGGCAGGACACTGCAGCCCTTTCCAGGGTACCAGGATGCAGGTTTACCTCAGCACCAGACTCTCTCATAGAGCCTAACAAGCAATCCAACACCAGTGACTGCGTTTTCAACCTCTTCAGATAGAGACTTTGAGGATGTTACTTATGCAGTGAGTGAGCCCTTCCAGGTGTGAGGCAGGATTTCCTTTCCTAAATGGCTGTCCAGTGTGTCCTGTTATGCTTCTGACATGGAGATTTGTGAATAGGAAAGGGAAGTTCTCTTGTTATCAATGGCTTACTGGCTACATATACTAGCCAGTGATGCTGTTGATTAACCGAGATTGTGTCTAAGACAGTTCAATTTAAATAGATACCCAATCTTCTCTTTCACCTCTTTCCAATATTCAACAAAAATAAATATTTGAGGAGGACATGCGGGCGGGAGTGGTAAGTTTCATGGAATTTGCACCTATGCTGGGCAACCTCTCTTGTCAAACCACAGTTAAAAGTGAGATGTCAATTTAGAGAAATCCCATCTTCTCAATATATACTTACCCTTCATACCAGATGAGTGCTCCTCTATTCTATTTTTCTCCTCTTGTCTCTTTCTGTAGAGCAATTTAAAGGAAAAAATCTTAACTTTAAAGAGCCTAGAATATGCTCCTTAAAGATTTCCTTTAAAAAAAATAAGACCATGAAAATACTATACAGAGGGGTTACAGTTACATGAGCAAGGTATTGAGTATATTTCTTATCCAGCATTGTTGCCTCCTCCTTTGTTTTTCCCCTACCATCCTGTCCCTCCCACCTCTCAACTACACCTCCCTACCTAAGTTGTAAAGTTCGTTTTTCTTTTTTTTAATTGTGAAAATACTGTACAGAGGGGCTACAATTACATGGGCAAGATAATGAGTACATTTCTTATCAAGCATTGTAGCTCCTCCTTTGTTTCCCCTTCCCATCCCTTCCCAGCCTCCCCCGCACCCCCACCCAATCCTTTCCCCCTCTCCCCTCCTCCTCACCCCCACACCAAAGTTGTAAAGTTTGTTTTTCAACATAGAGTCTTGCACATCTCATAGTTGCAATGGGTCAATCTGTATCCCTATTTAAACATTTTGTTTTTCTCTTCCCCTCCCCAAATTATACCAACATAAATACAGTGAAAACAGGGGTTATACCATGGGGGAGTGACATAATTTCTAACATATTTATAAGATTTCCTTTTTATCATTGTTAACGGATATCAATGTGTATTATATTCTCCTAGCTCTAGCATTTGGTAGCTGTAGGTAGATGAAGGGAGATTAGATGAGGGGTAGGTTCTGGGGTATGTACATCTGTGAGCTAATGAGGAACAACACGAGAGAGAGAGACAGAGACAGAGACAGAGACAGAGAGACAGAGATAGAGAAAAGGCAGGCAAACACTTCAATACATTGAAATAGATGAATATTTAAAGTTTATGATAGGGGCTGGGGGTTTAGCCCAGTGGAAGGGCGCCCACCTGGCACGTGCAAGGCCCTGAGTTCGGTCCTCAGCCCTGGGAAAAATAAAATAAAGTTTATGATATAACTCATAACCTAACTCTTAGGTAGCTATGAAGTTTATGAACTTCAAATATAATGCATCATTTTTTAAATTTGACTGTAAAGGTGCTGTACAGAGGGGTTACAGTTACATGAGTCAGGTAATGAATACATTTCCTTTTGAACAGTGTCACCTTCTCTGTCATTCTCTCCCAGCTTTTCCCCTCCTGACTTCCCTCCCCACAAAGTTGTATAGTTCATTTCCAACATAGTGCCTAGTGGGATTCTGCTGAATTGGTTCACCCTTTGTCCCACCATTTCTTTACTTCCCTTTCCCCAATAAACATCATTCTAAAGCCACTTTTATTAAAGAATTTAGAAGGAATATCTATTATCAGAGTAAAAACTGTTGAACCTAACTGTTAAAAATGGTGTGGTGCGCCTACATTAGCAAGAATAGGCCAGGTGACAGTCAAGATGGAAACATCTAACTGTCCAACTACTAAGAGAAATCACCTAAGGTGGAGGCCCTGGATGGATATCACCCAGGCCGCGGTGAAGAAGGGGAAATGGCCTTCCTGTCACTGAGAATAGAGTTCCCCAAAATGTCTTTAAATAACATAACCCACAGTCATACATTGTAAACGTGTTACTCTGCTCTACCACCCTTCCTATGAGCCACACACCCCCAAGGCAAGTCTTATCTCCAGGCCCAAGTAGAAGGATATCCATCTTCAGAGATACAGCCCAAGGGTGGGATCTGCTGTGTGCCTGGCCAGAGTGAGGAAATATGATTATTAGAAAATTATGATTATTAATCATAACCTTTGTGTTTATGTAGCCCCTTTATTAACATAACACGTAGACAGGGAGAAAATGGTTTATGGTCACAGTAATTGTCTGACCCCACTAACCAGAAACAACTATGAATGTATTCTACATGCCATAGTTAATTCCATGAACTTATTAATTTTAGCAAATTGAATATAATAAATAATAATACTTTTGCTTCCAAATTTTTTTCTTATTTCTGCTATTCTTTCTAAGAAAATGTACTATATATTCAATACATTTAAACTTTTAGATTTAGGATGGGAATATCTATTACTTAGTTGTCTTAATTCTTTTTTTGTATGTTTTTTAATTGTAAAAATGCTGTACAGAGGGGTTTCAGTTACATCAGCAAGGTAATGAGTACATAATTCTTAAAAGTATCACAGTTATTATAGTTTTAATATATTGGGCAAACACATAGTTAATATTTTAATGTTTTATAATAATATATATTAAAATAACATTATATACCAGTTATATTAATAGGGAAGAAAAGAAACTGTGTGTGTATAAGAAAAAACTGTAATTCAAACACAAAGAGCTATTTACATACAAACTGGTAGTAAAATGAAATGTGCCTCTTGTTGTCTTGTTTTAGAATTATTTACCTATAAATAATCAGGATGAAACCATGCAGTATGTATAATACAAAATATGTAATATAAGAAAACAAATATTGAGAATTACCCTCTATATTTACTCATAATTTCAGCAAGTGTGATTGCCTAGCTGTCTTTCTGCTTGTCAAACCAATAGGTGGAGCCAGGCACAGATGGTTCACATCTGTAATCCTAGCTACTCAAGAGGCTGTGATCCTTTGGCAGCTGCAGTACTGTCACATAGCCTAGGCTTGCCCATTCAGGGTGCTACCAGAAAGGAATTCAAATCCTACTTAAGATACAAGGTAAATTCATCTTGCAATGGCAATAAGCACAGTGGACGTAGATGCCTTTCAGTGTCCAGTAGCAGCAGAATCTAGCAGTGCCTGACCCCAGCAGCGACGGTAGCAGCAACTCCAGAAGTGATGCCCTGTCTAGGCAATCTGTGTGGTATAACCCTGCCCAGGGTCTGGTGTGATTCACCTCTTAATTCCCATGCATTTTCTCCCATGATGCTACTGTTATTCTCTCTGCTCTGTAATAGCAATAAACAATTTTCCAATAAAATCCTTTCCTGCTTTAAAAAAAAATAAAAGAGGCTGTGATCTGAGGATCTCGGTTCAAACCCAGCCTGAGCAGAAGAGTCCTTGAGGCTTTATATTAAAGAAGCAACAAAAAAGCTGGATTGTAGACATGTATCACATAGTAGAGTATCAGGCGTGAGTAAAGGAGCAAAACAAAACTCAGAGGGTCTGAGTTCAAGCCCCAGGACTGGCATGAATGCAAACACACACACACACACACACACACACACACACACACACACAGACTGAATAATATATACACCAAGTTTTTACATATAACTTATAGAAAATAACACCACATTTGAGCTCTCAAGTAAACAAATGGCCAGCAAAATTCCACAGAAGCTATCAGTCTTGTGGCCAAAGCACAAAGAGGAAGGAAATCAGTTTCCTTAAGTATGAATAAAAAACGTGCTCACATTTGCACCTTGAAATGTACATGGATGGGGAAAAAATTGAAGAGGAAAGGTTGACTTACAATTTTCTAAGTTAATATCTACGTTCTCACAATCTATGACACAAAGATCATGCTTTTTAATCAATACCTTACCCATTACAAGCATTCAGTACTCAAAACCTGTTTATGGTGATGTCATGCCCACAAAATTCGAGATAATCATTTTTGATATCTGCACTTATTCACGCATCCGTACAGCATGCCACAGCTTTCTCATGGCATTCTTCACTTCTGCATTCCTCAGAGTATATACAAGTGGATTTAGAAAGGGTGTTCCGGCGGTATAAAATACTGTCACCATCTTGTCTATGGGCAAAGTAGTTGGGGGACGTGTGTATATGAATATACAGGGACCAAAAAATAGTACAACTACAATGATGTGAGAAGAGCAAGTGGAGAGAGCTTTCTTCCTCCCTTCTGCGCTGTGATTTCGCAGCGAACGCAAGATGACTATGTATGAAAACATCAGAATCAAGAAACTGCATGAGCAAAGGGCTCCACTGTTAGAAACAAACAGCAGGTTGACCACGTATGTGTCCGTACACGCAAGTTTCAACAATGGCTGCAAATCACAGCAGTAATGGTCAATCAAATTGGGTCCACAGAAGGGCAATCTTAAGAGCAGGATAATCTGAGTAGTGCCATGTACAAATGACCCAATCCAGGCAAACACAATCAAGATGAGGCAGACCTGCCTTCTCATGATGGTTGGGTAGCGCAAGGGCTTACAGATGGCCACATAGCGATCAACAGCCATGAGGACGAGGACAAAGATCTCCAAGCTGCCAAATAAATGCAGTGCGAAGATTTGAGTCATGCACTCATTGTAGGAAATTATTTTCTTTGTAGAGAGGGAATCCACAAGGAGTCTGGGGACTATGGATGTGGAAAAGAAGGTATCTGCACAGGACAAATAAAACAGAAAGAAGTACATGGGGCTCCCAAGTGCTGAGCTGAACATGATGGTCACAATGATGAGTGTATTTCCCAAGATAGTGGCCACATAGAAAAGCAAGAAGATGAAAAACACCGTACTTTGTCTCTCAGGATCCTGGGTCAACCCTAACAGTATAAACTCAGTGACACTGCTGTTTTGTTGCATCATTTCCGTCATTGTGCAGAAATCACAGGTTAGAACAAAAAAATCTACAAAGGAGAAAAGAAAATTGCATAAACAAAATACAAAATTTAAACGTAGAATGCATAGCTTCAGTCATGCAATTCTATCTTACCAGTGATTTAACACTTAGCATTCCTATAGGGTTTTTTTCCGTGAAAATTTTAACAACATCTAACCCATTTCCCAGACTGCACACAAAAATAATGAAATAGAAAATATTTGTTGATTGCTACAATGGATCAATCTGTATCCTTGTTTTAGCATTTTGTTATTTTCCTTCTCCTCCCCAAATTAGAAAAATGTATACACAAGACGCAGGGCATTGGCATCAAATACAGTGACAATAGAGGTTATACCATGGGGGTGAGAACATACAAAAGAAACACAAAAAACATAATACATAAATACAACAGCAACAAAGTAAAAACCTCTTGTGTCTTAGGGTTCATTTCACTTATCATCTTATATGGTCATATGTACATAGCTTTTGACCTTTTCTGCTTGTCTGGTAAGATTATCCTAGACATGTCCTAGTTATTGCAAATAATGGAATCCATGGGACCTATGTTTCTTTGAGTCTGGCTTACTTCACTTAATATAATTTTTCCAAGTTTTTCCATTTCTTAACAAATGGGGCAGTGTCATTCTTTCTGATGGAAGCCTAGAATTCCATTATAAATATATGTATTATATTCCATTATATATGCATATATGTGCATACATATTATATTTTTTCTTAATCCATTATCTACTGAGGTTTGGGCAGAGAAATAACAAATTGCTGAAACAAGGATACTGGTTGACCCATTCTAACAATGAGACAAACAAGACACTATATTGAAAACAAACTTTACAACTTCAGGGGGGTGGGAAGGGAGGAGTTGGGGAGGTAGTGAGGAAGGGATAGTAGGGGAAAAACAAAGAAGGAGGTAACAATGCTCCATAGGAAATGTAATCCCTCCATACAGTATCTTTACAATAAAAATATATAAAAAAGAAAATGTTGAAACAAAGTAATGAAGCCTTAAGCAAGAGTATTTGGCATCAGCTGTTAATATTTTGACCATCATGAGCTGTTAAGCGAAGATGTACTAAGGTCCAGGTAATACGCAGAAAACTTTTGCTTCTTTTACGTCACATTGAACCTGGTAGTTTCACTAAAATGTACACATATAGTAAAAGTTTTTTAAAACTCTGGTGATAGCTCTTTAAACATTGTAGGTATCCTTAATGAAATTTCAAGGCATGTAGGAACACACACACACACACACACACACACACAGAGTGAAGTTTGCATTTTGAAAGAGAGAAACAGAAAGAAGAAAGAGACAGACATAATGCGCATATAATTTTAGCAATGGAATCAAATCAAATCTGCGTAATCTAAAGTAAGAATAGTTTAATCTCTATTTCTGTTAAATTTGTCTCTGGGGTTTGAGCTCCGGGTGGTGAGCTTCCTAGGCAAGCACTCTGCCACTGCAGCCCTTCAAAGAATTGTTGTACAAGACCAGGGACAACCTGAGATTGACCTGAAGAAAAGCTGATATAAATCAAAACACTCCTCCAAGTTTAGGTTTACAGGTAATTATCAAGAATTTTAAAAATGTCCTTGGTAGACTCACAATAAAATTTGCAGTGTACACTTTTGTGACTATTTCAAACCCTGACTCATCTAAGAAAATGGAGATATAAAAGTGAATTGACATTTATTTGGATTTGCCACATACTGTAAGTTTACTAAGACAACTATGAACAGAAACATAATTTGCAGTCTCTAAGTAGGAAATCTGCATTCTTAGAGTTATACATGGGAAATTCCCTTTCAAATGTAAGATATGGTAATATATGAAATGTGTTGTCATACTGCATTACAAATAAAGCTTTATGAGCCCTTACCCTAAGACATTATGAACCACATTTGCTTATCACTGAGCCATTACAACTTCTTTTGCTGTAAGAACTAGATGGTACAAAAAATACTGAGTCAGATTTAAATATAACCTACAGGACCACACTGACAATAACCACATTTATTTTTGTAATTGTTTTCCAAAGGTATTATTGGCAAATGTTCTTTAGAAATGAAATTTTTTAAGAAATATTTGAGCTCTGAGAATTAAGTAACATAAACCCAATCTATCTGTACATCTAATCCATCTGTACATTCATAGTTTTCTGGATATACAGATGTAGCAATAAACATACTGTTATATTTGTATACTATAGGTAATTTGTAGTTCGTAAGAATTGTAGACATAAGCAGCATCATAGAAGTAAATGGTTTCCTATGAATTCGAATTAATCACATTCCACGCTAATCTATTATTCTATGCTCTGTTGCCATTGGAACAAGAGACATATTGATCTCTGACTACATTTAGTTGAACATTGTCACTTGCATGGACTCTTTCCATGGAATATCCCAAACAGATATTATTTCTACTTGATTATCCCTCACACCCTTCTATCATCAGGCCTTACTAGCCCATTTCTGTCTCTTCTCTTTCCATCTTCTCACTTTTGAACGCGAAACATCTCCAGAAAACTCCCTCAAATGCTGTCCTTGCACAAGTACCTGATAATGTGTGCTTCATGTGTCTGTAACAGTCTATAACATTAATCTGAATTTCATTCCGCAAGAAAGCAGCATGAGTACACGTGAACACAAATCCTACCAGCTTTGGGTAAGATGGCCAGCTGACTTCCTTCCCTCTGAAAAGAATCGGAGGCTGCTCACTCAACTGGGAATCTTCAAAGAGCTTCCAAGTTAATGTCTTTGACTCCAGAATCTCCTCTGATCTCACAAAGAAGTTTATATTTTTTAGTTGGATTTCAAACCCATTCAAAGTTTTCTGAAATAAATCCTCACATCGGCTTTAAACTGATCTTTTCCTCCCCTTTCATTCTTCCCTGGAGGTGTGTGTAATATAAATGACGTAAAATACAGAAGTTGGGGATAGGCATTCCCTGAAGTGTGTCTTTCCTCTCAATTGAGGAACATGATCCAGATGTGGTTAAAAAGCTTAATCCTCAATTTATCTCTGATGTAAAGGGAAAGAGATAGGTTATTATTTCAATTAAAAGTGTTAATTAATAATAAATGACATTTCCTTTGGGAGGATAAAAAAATCTAACCCTTGGGCCTTTGTTCTAATAATATTATTCAATAAAATCATCAGTGGTTCTTGTAGAAATGTCTAATTCTAGGTTTTGGCTAAGAATGTATGACATATCATTTTATAGTGACAGAGATAAAATACTAAAATACACTTGCATGCACACACAGACACACATGGACACACACCACAGAGTGGTGCAATATTGCAATAGGCAGTGGGTCACAGATTAATTGGGAAAATATGAATAGTCAAAACTGTAAAGGATATAAGCAAGCCAGGTACTAATGGCTCATACCTGTAATCCTAGCTACTCAAGAGACTGAGATCTGAGGATCACTATTAGAAGCCATGAGTCTCATTAAATACCAAAAAGCTGGAAGTGGAGCTGTGGCTCAAGTGGTAGAGCACTAATCTTGAGCAAAAAAAAAATGCTTAAGGACAATGCTCAGTCCTCAGAACCAGAGCACGCGCGCGCGCGCGCACACACACACACACACACACACACACACACACACAGAAAGAGAGAGAGAGAAGGTGGGACAGTGGAAGTAGTGGAAAATGAACTATACAACTCTGGATCGGGACAGGGTGGGGTGAAACTGGGAGGGAGCAAAGGAAGTGGTGACACTCTCCCAAAAGAAATGTATTTATTACCTGACTTATGTAACAGTAATCATTCTGTACATCATCTCTCCAATAACATGAAAATGTATTTATTTAAAAGTGAACCCCAAGATATGGACGCAAAAGATTTTTCTTTATTGTTGTTGTTTTTAATGTACTATGTGATTTTTTTTGTTTCTTTTGTATGCTCTTTCCCCTATGGTGTATCCCTTGTTATCCCTGTATTTCATTGTGGTACCCTGCATCTTGTATATATATTTATCTAATTTGGGGAGGTGAAGAGTAATAACAAAATGCTGAAACAAGGACACAGGATGATCCATTGCAGCAATGATACTCCCATGACACTATGTTGGAAATGATCTTTACATCTTCAAGTGGTGGGGGGAGGAAAGGGATAGTAGGAGAAAAACAAAGGAGGAGTAACAATGTTTGATAAGAACTGTGCTCATGACCTTACTCATGTAACTGTAACCCCTCTGTATAGCATCTTCACAATAAAATAATTTTTAAATGCCTGTTCATTTCACTAATTATGTATTTATTCATGTAATAGATGACAGACATTGGGCTGCCTTATAGAAACTGCTGTCACCAAGGCTACAAGGGTCAAAGTTTCTTACTAATAATTGACAGGTTTTTTATTTGGTTCATGATTATTTCTGATGGTTTATAAATAAGGATTATTTCTGATGTTGAAAATTGGAACTTTGTTACCAATGGCTCCAAGGATAAATTACCCCATCTTTATAGTCTTAAAGCATTTACATGCCATAATATTACTGAAAAGGGATAACCGTGAATTATGACTTATAAGATGGTAGGATAAAGCAAGGAAAAATGTTTAGATTTCAGCCTACTCACGCAGTATATACACTGTCTCAGCAAAAATCCTTGACTCAAAAATAAAAATAGCAGAATAAGCTAACATCTATAGGAGATTTTTCATTTGCCTGTTTTGTTTGGTTTTTGTGGAGAATAGGTTTCCTGGGTAACATGACCGTATAGACCATAGCTCTAACACATAGACCACACTAAAGCCCTTTGTATTTTAGTCTGTTTTTAAGGTAGAATCTTGAATTTTAGTCCTGGTCTAAAGGTCTTTTAGCCTCTGACATTGATCCTTCTGATTCTGGCTCCTACATACCAGGGTTACAGGCTTGAGTTGTCATATCAACATTTGTCTTTAAGATCATAACAGTTAAGGATATTTTCAGGAAAAAGTCATATTTATGCTAA